CCACCCCTCCCGGGCATGGGAGGACCACCACCCCCTCCACCCTTACCTGGGATGGGACCTCCACCACCACCACCTCCGCCAGGGTTTCCTGGTGCCCCCCCTCCACCGCCAGGCCCAGGCATGCCTCCCCCTCCACCGTTTGGCATGGGGGGCTGGGGGGCCCCCGCACCACCCTCACTGCCTTTTGGACTGGAGCCTAAGAAGGAGTACAAGCCTGAGGTCCAACTGAAGAGAGCCAACTGGAGCAAGGTCAGTCCTTAGTTAGATGGTTCAATATATTATTCAGTTATTTATCTGGTAGAGTAAAAATAGTAGATATTTCACATGAACATGAGCCTTTGCAGCCATATGGCATCAGCCCCTAACCATTGGGCTCCCAAGGCGCTCCTTTCACTTTTAATTGGACGTGATGAACTGACAAAGTGTTCTGATTTGGATAAAAGCACAGCAGTTCTACCGGCTTTTGACCTGTTCATCAGGAACATGCTGACATGCATATGTGCTGCTATGGTTACCAAAACATATGCCTTATCAGGTTATATACATGGCCTGACCTGACTACGATTAACTGAACCAGACAGGTGAGGTTTGTCATCATTTATGAGTTCAGTTAGTATTTAATGTCCTCAGAGACCTGTCTTTATTGTGAACCTTTTTCAGCATAGGTTTGGCCACATGGTTAATATCAGTATTAAAGCTCCATGCGTCTTTCTGCAACACATTTCTGTTTTTAATTAGGCACATGAAATCCCCAGACATTTCAAATCTTGCATACAGGTTTTTTTGTTTGGTATTATTGTTTCACAACAATTAAAAGAACTTGCGCTTGCTTGTTTTTGTGGTATTCTGTTTCGATGAGGCGTCTGCTAATACAGCCTACTGTTTTTCAGCTCCTAATGAGAAAGTATGACTTTAATTTAAAGTTAAGTGAATCTTACTGTGTTTAGTTTAAAATGTATTTAGAAATAGCTCCGGGTGAGAGGGAGCTTCTACAGTGAGATGTTGACCTAAAGTGACTCACATGCATACGTGTATCTCATGGCTATGTGCTTCATGTTGTTCTCCACCCTCTCATCTGTGATGGTTAAAACATCAAAACGGCCCTCTGTCTTTCTGTAGCCTAGAGCTACTGTTTAATGGCTTCAGCAGACTTCATCAGCATTTAACTTCTCTCTCTCTCTTCTCTCTCTCTTGCTCTCTCGGGCTGCTGAGAGTGTTTGACGAGGATGTCACAGAAATTGCTTTTTAATAAGCCTTCTTCTTTTAACTGCGCCACTGAAAGATAATTAAATTGCTGCTAGAAAGGACAGTATTCTTTTGTAATTTAAATTAACTTTTTTTTCTGGCTTGGTCTCATCCTCCTTTTTGCGTACCCTCCTGCTTTTCCTTCTTGCTCCTTCAGCTCATCCCCATATCACATTTCCTTCTCTCTGTCTTCTCTGTCCGACGCCCCCATCCCTCAGGCTTTGTCCATAATGAAAGGACTGATATCTGTACATTTACTACCAGTTCTCTCTCTCTCGCTCTCTCTCCGTTTCACTTTCTCTCTTTCTCGTTCCCTTTAATGAGAACACTCTGAAAGTAAAGGAAAAACATACAAAGTTAATTGTGACTTTAGACCAGAATAGAGAGAGGGAGGGAGAGGGAGAGCAATATCAAGACAAAGGGAGGGTTGTAGAGAACGCAGCTGGGTAGGGGCGAAGCAGGAACTAATGTATTTCTTTTTATTTCTGTGTGTGAAGCTCTGGAGCATAAGATGCTTTGTGGTAGAGACAATCTGTGAAGATTAGAGGAAATAACTACCTGTGTCCTCCTCTTTGTGCCATGCTTCCTTCCTTCCTTCAACTTCCTCTTCTCTCTCTATCACACCCTGCCTCTTCCTTTGACAGCCCGGCTGTTTCTTTTGTTCTGCCGACTCCTTTATCTGCTCATCTCATTGTTTGCCAGGTGCACAGATGACCATTTTGGGGAAATTGAGTCAATTTGATGATATGGCTATCTAACAGATACAATACACCTCTGTCTCCCCCTTTCTTTCTTTCTTTCTCTCTCTGTCTATTCTGCCATTTCTCTCTCTTTAGATCGGGTCTGAGGACCTCTCTGAGAAGAGTTTCTGGATCAAGGCAAAAGAGAATGCATTTGAAAGCAACGAGCTCTTTGCCAAACTCACCTTGGCCTTCTCCTCACAGACAAAGCGTGAGTGTGTGGCTTTGGCTTGTGTGTGTTTTATTTAATTTAATGAGGAATGTCTCACTCTCTTTCTCACCCCCCTCTCTCTCCCCAATTCTATGTCTATTTCAATCCTCTTCCATCAGCCACTAAAGGTAAGCATATCACACACACACACTTCCATTTAGTTATTTTTTCACACATCCTCTCCAGACTTTCTCACCCTTCACTTACTCTGCTTGGAGGACACACTGTGTGCATTTACATTATTCAACAACACAGTGTCAAAACAGAATCTCACAAAAGTTCATGAATAAACCACCCACACCTGTGTATGTGTTCATCTTCTCAACGTGGCCGTGACTTGTTGTGCAGAGGCAGAGCGCCCTGTGTGATAAATTGGGACTTGGGGACAGAGGAAGAGATTGACAAAGAGAGGAGGGTAGAGGGAGGGATAAGGAGAAGGTCACTGATGTCCTTTGACTAGCCACCTGCTGTCCTGGCACAAAGCGCTGACACACCGGCGAACGCTCACACGCGCACACCTGTCCACTCCTATCACCTTGTCCCAGTGTCACTAAGCCTTCTGCTCCAACTCCTCCATATTCATATCATAAGCAGGAAATCACAGACAGACTGTGTGTGTGTGTGTGTGTGTGTGTGAGAGAGAGAGAGAGAGAAAGAAAGAGACCAGGTCCAGTGCGTTTATTTCTCTGTATGTGTTGTTCATTTCCCGTGTGTTTCTTGAATCTGTCGGGTAGTTAAGAATAACATATTCTTCATAACAGAATTAGGATTGTATTGAACTGTTGTGTAAGCATCTTGTGGTTTGTTCAGAGTCGGTGTGGTTTACTCCACACTGTGTCAAGGTTGTGCGTTTGCGGTTGCACATTTATACACGCTCAATAAGCAACCAGCTCTGGTAATGCAGATTGACCCTTCACCCCTTGTCCTTCCTTTTCTTGTTTAAACACACCGCTCAAGGCGTAATACATCCCTTCTGACCTCCCTATCCTTCTCCTTATCCCTCCCTTTCTGCAAGCCCGGCTTCACTCTTCCTCATCCTCCTCTTGCGCCTCCCATTCTTCGTTAAACTGTAAACAGACAGACAACACATCGAGCAACCGCTGACCCTTGCTGACCTTTCTTCCTGCTCTCCATCAGCTGCCCAGCAGCACAGCTGGAGCTACGCACGCACGCACGCATGCACACACACACACACACACACACACACACACACACACACACACACACACACACACAAGCTTTGCAGCTGCGTTACACAGTTTCTGCCCTAGTTGTCAAAAAATGTATTGTAAGCACACGTACGTAGTGCATGTTCATGTGTAACCTACTTGCTGCCATGTTGGACAGGTCTCCTTGAAAAATAGATCGATGATCTCAATGGGACCACCTGGTTGAATAAAGGTTTAATAATAAATAATGGTGAGAATGCCAGGCTACAGAGTCACTTCAAACAGCTGCTTGGAAATCATTACGAAATCATTAAATAAGAGAGATGCGTCAACATTGCAGTTGAGCTTCAGGATTACTCCCAGACACATTCCCACATTTAAACCCACCGCAGTGGTTAGCATGTAATAAGGGAATATTCCCCTGTCTACTTGTCTAGCCAGGTTTTACAAAAGCTACCAGCATGGACGTTACACAAACAATACATACATACATACANNACACACACACACACACACACACACACACACACACACACACACACACACACACACACACACACACACACACACACACACACACACAGACGTGCAGGGGGGGTTGTGCTCAGGGCAGGGTCAGGGGTGTTGACCTCTGACGCTTGGTGGAAGAGCAGAGCGCTGATGGTGGGAGACACGCCCTCTGTCTGCACATGGCTCTCATGGACACATTCCCACACTTTGACACACACAATCGCACATAAGCACACTTATACTTTGCTCTCTATCCACTGTATGTAGTTATTTCCGTTTCAGTCTGTAAATCTCCAGCTACGTATCTGTTCTCTCATTGAAAACAAGGTCATGTTCCGCAGTGAAGGTCAGGCCAGTGATTCTTCATCCTCCTGTTTCCCTCCAGCTGTTGAGCATGTAGGAATTTACCTGAACAAATCCTGGTACAATCTTGACAATCCCTAATTGTTTGTCTCCTGTTGATGATATATTGCTTTTGATATATTAAGATGGATTTTGACCTCACAAGAGCAGATTCTTTGAAATCCTACTGTCCCATAGGAATGTCTGAAGGTAACATTCAGTTTCTGCATTGTTTTTATGAATATGCAGTGTCACATTAACTGAATATTTTCAATCACTGACAGAATCTTTTCTAACTAAGAAGGAACAATTTTAAGATCTTAGTTTTTACAGATTAGAACACTGAGCACGATCTACTTTACTTTAAGTAATTATTGGTTGTTCTTTTTTTATTCTCAGAACTCTAATTGTGCTGCATCTAACTTTGAAACCCTCACCGGATTTCTTTTGCCTGATCAGATTGTATTCCAGCCGTGATACTAAGCCCAGGCAAGAATATAACATGTCCACACAGGAACACTTCACCTTACTTGATTTATTCCAGTCAAGCCCTCTTTGCCTGAAGTCTTTTCACCTTTAACGTCTAAAACTACTTAACTTGCCAAACAACCATTGCACCCAAGGCCACCGTTAGCAGTACGGTAGATACTGCTCAACATCTTATTTACCAGGGTGAAAATACAAAATGAAGTTGACAACATGAAAAGGAGAAGTGGGAATGATTTAGTCCTTCTAATTGAGTTAGTTTTGGATTACTGAGGATGCAAACTGTCAAGGTTGCCAGGAAGTGCACCACCTCTAGGAGCAGTTTGGGAATATTCATTCTGACTTCTCACTGTCCCTGATCACAAAGATACAGTTTGGTATTCAAAGGAATTCATAAGAACATACCTAGCAAAATCTCCAACAATAATTGTAATAGAGAAACCTATTTTACTGCTATCTTTAAGTATAGTATGGAAAAGACTGCCATGCTGTCCCCCATTGTTGTGCTTTGCGTGTGTAAGAGCTTTATCATTGGAGACCTGATATGACTATTTGCAATTGTAAAGAGCCAAATTGTTTACATGAGAAGTATGTTTGGCTGAAAAATGTCTGGCTGAAAAATGATTTGCGTAATGTGTTTGGTTTCAGACGGGAGGCTTATCCCCACTTTCTCCCTTAAGCTACTGATTCTCAATCCCTCGCTTTGAAATGCCTGTGTCTGTTTTCTACTCTTTAGTATTTGTTTTCTTCTCTCTAATGGTAATAACAGCTAAAACGAATCCAAACACGGGTCGTTCGTATGTGGTTATCCATTTTTTGAAAAGTGCAGGACAGTGACAAGCCTTGAATTCATACACTGTTCATCTAAAATGGGTATAGATACCCTGAACTGCTCTCACTTTTTCAGACTGTGTTTGATAGCAGATGCCTTTTGAAGTCGGCACCTCAGATAGCCCAATTAGCAAAAGAATGAGAGAGAGGAGGAGGAGGAGGAGGAGGTGGAGGTGGGTGAAAGAAAGAAAGAAAGAAGAGAGAGCAGAGGGAAAAGCTGGGCTAGGGGGAACGCTGGTGATTAATTTGATTCGGGAGAGAAAAGGGCCAGGAGCATATATGATTATTAATCCTCATAATGTGAGGATCATTTTCATATCCCAAGTCTCCAGCCTCTACACCCTTGCCGTGTTTCTGTGGTCTGTTGGAGTAGGACGACCTCATTTCCTTTTCTTGTAGAGACCCCCCCCCATTCCAAGAAGTCCCTTTGTGATGCCATTCACTGTAAATCTCTGCTGTAAACACCTACACAACCAACAGCACCTACCTGTATCACATTTGCTTCAAATACAGATGTGTGGATGTGTTGGAGAGAGTGGGTGGGTAAGCTCAACCACATTTACAAACCAATTATAATAAGCCTTTTGATCTCCCTGTGTTCTGAAGAAATCAATTTCCTTCTCTGTAGGTGTGCGTGTAATTGTGATGGTTAGTTTCATCTTATGTCTGTTCCATGCACTTTCTCCTTAATGAGCCACCAATCAGAAAGAAAGTGCCGTGTGTGTGTTCGTGCTGCTAGGGGCCTCTCACATGTTGTAGACCAATCAGTTAAAGGCATGAGATGTTTAATACATTAGCAATAAAAGACAAAAAGGCATGGAGCGTTATGCTGCGGGGTTGTTGATTAGATTATTACAGCATCTGCTAAAAAGAGTTCACAACATTTTGTGACTTGTTTTTCTTGCAGTACACTTGCTCAAGGTCATTGTCAGCCAAAGACAAATGTCCAAGGTAATGAAATAACACATGACTCTTGGCACTGTTTTAATTTTTACATTACAGCAAAAATGATTGCAGTGCTGGTACAAACATGTCAGCTGAGTGATACATGGACACTGTAGATTTACCCCTGGGTCGTTCATAAAGCACAGTTCATAGACAATACATCATGCACAGAAATGATGCAGTTTAATGTCTCTTCTGATTCTGTACCTGATGGAAGGGCAGTCGCTGCTCCACATTTGACAGGTCTGATAAATGACTGGTTACTTGTAGAAAATGATGACCACAGGTGAGAGAGGGGAATACCCTGCTGTTTACTTCCATGGCCTCCGTTCTTCCCTCCGTCTCCTCCTCCTCTTCCGTCCCAGTTTGCTAATCCCCACACAACCTACTTCTAGAAGATGTTTGTTTTTCCACACTTGGATCCCCCCTAGGTCACAGCCAAGAAATATTTGTGAGATGTGTGTTTGTGCATACATTTGTGTGTGTGCACGATTGTGTATAATTAGGGAGAGTTTTAGATAACAGTTTATGGGATGTGTAGACCCAGAGCAGCAGTCTCCTGAGACTGTTTTAAATATGTACTAATACAGCACTTAGAGGACTGAATGAGGAACGGGCTCACTTTATTAGGCCATAAGAGTGTTTGTGTGCACTTGTGCGATTGTGCTAAATTAGTATTGGCTTTGAAAATCTGGTGTTTATAATTTGTTTTAAGTAGTCTGTTAGTGTTTGTATATATTACTGTGTGTATGTTTGTACTTGTGTATCCCACAGTAGCAGGCACTGTTAATAAATCATGCAATGTTCAGGCTGGGACTGCAGGAGGAGAAGCAGGTTGATGCAGG